GAAGTGAAACTAGGAAAAGCCCGATTGGGCAGATACCACACCCGGTCGGGTAACAACACAATAAATGAATACCCGGGCAACATCCCAACTGGGTGAAATTTTGATAAAAATAAAAAAGGGATAAAACCCGATCGGGTATCACCAAAACTCAACCGGGTTTTTACATAATTTGGCCTCTAGAAGCCCCCTGGAATGCTTACCCATTCGAGTAACCTCGAAAAACCATCCGGGCAAGCGTTTATAAAAAAAATCCAAAAACCCGATCGGGTTCTCCGATTACTCGACCGGGTACTTAAAAAAAGTCCACCCGGGAGTTTCTTAACATGATCGGGTGGCTAAAAAAAATCACTCAACCCCATCGGGTTGTCTTCAAACCCGGTCAGCTTGTATTCAAATCGTGCATAATTGGTTTCAAACCCTGTCGGGTTGGTTTCAAACCTTGTCGGGTTTGCCAACATTTTAGAACCAAAAGCTCCAAAAACACTCCTTTTCACCTCTTTTCATCTTGAATCTTCCAACCCACCATCCAACTCCACCCCAAACCTCATAACCATATCTTTCTTTCTTCAAATCAAACCAAATCCTCCACCAAACCCCACACATTAAAAAAAACATCATAATCTTATTCCCATCATCTTCATCTTACTCCACTTTCCTCTTACTCCACATACCCTCTCATCCTAAACTCTTGGAAAACCTCACCCCTCTTGTATCTAAAAAAATGATGGCGAAAATGAGCACTAGGGACAATGCTCGGTTTAGCAAGGGGGGAGAAGACTCTTCATTATACATAAGGTATTTCTTCTACATTGTACTTTCAAAAAAAATACAAAAAACAAAAAAATGTTAATGCAAAAAAAAGCGAAAAAAAGAAATGTCAGTTAGGTTGAAAACCCGAACGAGCAACCTAGGCAACAATGACAAAAAAAATGATGAGTGAGCCGATGCTTAAAAAGAAAGAAAATGAGAGGCAAGGATGAAAACCCAAAAACGAGCTCCTAAGGCAAAATGAGAGAATTAGAAGAAAATATTTTATTTTTAAACCTACAAGATTTGCTTTTTACTCTATGCCAAAGGAATGAAGAAAAAAGCAAGGAATGGAGATATTTATTCACATTTGTGTTTTGATACTCTTGAGTAATGGTTGTGTGAAACATTTGCTTGAGTCTTTTGCTTGTTAAGACATTCTGAAGCTGGATTTTGATTTTACTCGGGACGAGTAAAAAGGCTAAGCATGGGGGAGTTTGATATGCACTACTCCCTCCGTCCCATTAGAAGGTTCTCACTTTCCTTTTTTAGGACGTCCCATATAAAGGATCCCATTTCCATTTTAGGAAACAATTAACAATCTTAAGTGACAAATTAATCATTAAATATTAAAATTAATACATTTATAACATCACAGTTATCAATACTAACTACATTATAATATATACCTATTAAATATATTTCTCAAAATATACTCGAAGTACTTTATTTAATTATTGTCTAAATAACCGTGTCATTTTGCTATGGGAACCTTTCAACCGGACGGAGGTAATATTTCTTAGTGCATAAGTTTGATGTTTTAGTATTGTTTGATTATTGTTTTTAATAGTTTAGTTTAGTTTGTGATGTACTCTCTAGATTTATTTTGTATTGTTGTATGTACCATAAGGGATGCAAGGGAATATTATAGGTACCAAAGAAAGGCAAGATGAAATGTGAAAATAAATTCTGGTACCAAACCCAGTCGGGTCGGAACACAACCCGGTCGGGTTAGAAGTGACATATGAAGCCAAGAGGAAGCTACACGCCAAAACCCGGTCGGGTTGGTACAAAACCCGGTCGGGTTGAGTTGACAAGAACAAAAGAACGAGTTGAAGATCAAGAGAACGTGGAAAATATACAATTTGATACGAAACCCGGTCGGGTTTTGACCCAACCCGGTCGGGTTGGATGTGATTTCAGCACCTTCCGAGCAGTTTAAGGATACCCGGTCGGGTATTCTATTACCCGGTCGGATATCAGACCCGGTCACCTCAAAATACCTATAAATACACCCCTTTTTCTTTCCATTTGATATCCCTTCTTTCATACTTTTAAGCTCAACTTAGAATAGTATTTTCTTTATATTTTTCTAGCATGTTTAGTCTCCAAATGGGGAGCTAAACTTCCATTTCTTGGTTTTGCTCTTGAAGCTTGTTGATTATTAAAGTTGTGAGTTATTTTCCCAACTTCTCTCCTTGAATACTAATTCTTCCCTTAATATATCTCGATATTATTGTTGGGGAGTGTTGCTAAGATAACAATTAGTTAACATCTCAATATTAATTATTATTAGAAACGATCAACGAACCGATGGTTAATCGTTGATGGTTTCACAAGTAAGTAACTTCGGTTTATTAATGCACGATCGTGGTTAAAAAACTTAAGAGGAATTAATTTTGTTGGTTAAACTGAAACCGTTGTGTTGAGGTTATCAATCTCAATTGATTTCATCAAGGAGTTAAAAATTAAATGTTACTATTAAATCGGTATAAGGCGCTGTTCTATATTTGATTAATAGTAAGGGTTATTAATGAACGGTCTTTGTTAATAACTACCCTCGATGAATTGGAGATACTCCTCGATTGAGTATTCGAGAGGGGATAAGTTATAAATATAACAAGGATCGACTAAATATATCAACAAGTGGAAAGTAACAAAGCCAAGTTCTTTTTATCTTTGAATTAAATCACATATAAGTTGTTCATCTTAGTGTTCAATTAAATTTAATAACTCAACCCCAAAACTCTCTTTTAATTACTAGTTCATAAAAATAGAATTATTCATTTCCCTATTGAATTTATTTTGACGCACTACGACAAAGTGTTCGTCATATCCCTCGCTGTTGCCGGTCCCGTCACCACCGTTGTTGCTCGTAGCCTCTCCGCGCCGCCTCCTCTCCTTTTCTTCTCCTTTCTTCTCGTTTGCATCTCTGTCTTTGCTCTCGTAGTCCAGCGACGAAGACCAGATCTCGTCTGTGCCAGAGACGAAAACCATATCCTGACGGTGGCTCCTTAGATCTACGCGATGTCTTGCAATGGTGAAGGCGGCGATTTGAGGCGGGGCCTTGACACAACCTCCAGATCTGCTCCTACAATGGCTAGGGTTTCGTTTGCATTCCACGATTGATCGATTCCACAATTTACAGCAGTCGCGATCCTTTCAGTGTCATTCAATTTGGCGATGAAGACCAGACGTTGAGCTTTGTTGGCCATGGTTGAACGGTGGTGGAGTAATGGTTGACAGAGGAAGGGCTGCTGGTATTGCAGTGACAAAGGTTGTACAACGCCCATGGTGGGGGAGGGGAGACAGTGGTCACCGGCCACACGACGGTGGTCACCGGCCGGACGGCGGTCATTACTAGCCATGTGTGGGCTGGGTGGACTGGTGGGGTTGGGGCTGACTGGTGTAGCACAACGGTGGCTGTGTTGGGGTAGAAGGGGGTTGTGGAGGTGGCTGGGGATGGGGAGTCAAGCCGGGGGCGGGGCGGTGGTCCTTGGCGGCGTTCGGCAGTGATGGTTGGCGTCGATGCTAGGGCGGGGTGGCTGAGGACGAGCTAAGCGGGATGTGAGAAAAAAGGGAGGGGTGGGCTGCGTCACCGGAGACGCGTGTCATTGTGGCCGGAAACGGGTGTCATTGTGGGCGGAAACGGCTTGTCATTGTGGCTGGTGTCACTTTTGGCAGGAATCACTTTGACCGATGTCATTTTTGGTCGGAGTCACTGTAGTGGCGGCAGTCACTGACGAACCAGCGGCGGCAGTCACTGGATGGGGCGGCAGCGTCAACCACTAATCGGGTCGGCAGCGGTCATTGATCCGGGCAGTGGCTATAGTAACTAGTCAAGGTGGTGGTGACGGCAATCACTGCATGGGTGGTCACTATTGGTCTAATTCTAATCACTAAAATTGCTAGTCACTACATCTTCTAGTCATATTTTTGGAATTTTGCTTATATGATCACTTTTTTGTCTTTCAGCATTTATTTAGTAATATTAATAAAATAAGGTCACAAGAAAATACCCGGTTTTCATCATGGTTGCACTAAAAGTATGTTATTAAATATTATGATCTCTTTTCTATGCTTATTAAGTACGAGTATTAGATTTCCGTCACATTGTACCTTCAAATTTTCAGTTGTCTTTATTTTCCTTTTGAAATAATTAATACTCCATCCGTTCCATTTGACTTTGTCAGTTTTCTCTATTTGTTTGTCCCAAAAAAATTTGTCATTTTCTTATTAAAGTAACTAATTTTTCATTCTGATCATTTCTCTCTTCTCTAAACAAATTTCAACCACACACTTTTTACTATTTTTATTCCTCAATTAACTCAAATTGTGCAAAGTCAATTGAAACAAAGGTAATATGTGTTTGTTATCAACTTCAGTTGTGTTAGATATACACATTTTGGTGTACACCTTTCATACACTCGTGTGTCTCACGCACACAGAATTGTCTGTCCACAGACAACTCTACAAAATTATCTGTGGACAGACAATTCTGTTACGTAAGACAGACAAGTATACGAAAGATGTACATCAAAATGTGCACACCAAACATTTTTCTATCCTCTTTTCATCTACACATATTTCAACTATATAATTTTTATTTATTTTTATTTTATTATCTCCGGTCAGATTATTTCCTACAAGATAGAGGGAGTATCTTCATTCATTCATTTATTTATTTATTTGGTTTACTAGCGTTGATAGGATTATCCTTTCGACCAAATACGAATTATATATGGTTAAAAGATTGTCTATTTAGGTCACTTCGTAGTCATTTTGATAGGTACCGTACTCATCATTCATTTGATTAGATAACACCATTTTATCATTTTTAATTTATATTTAAATAATTCAATTGCTACATTCTCATCACTCCATGCGGACAAATGTATGATACCTTATGAGTACCATGAAATCTACCATTTTAAAATACATCCGTGCATCGTTTACGCAGTCAAAGCAATCTGCTCCACACAAACCGATATACATATACTGATATACTATCGTACTACGTCCTCCGTATATTTCTGGTCGGCCGCCTCAATCGGATTGGCAGTCACAGGCGGGAGCAATGCGGCGCCCGATATATGCTCTTCTGCTCACTGTATTTGCCGTCTTTTCCGCCGCTAATTCCACCGGTAACTTCGCCGGTTTTTCGAGCATACTCCTCAAGTCTGATGTCACTGGACTATGTACTGACCTCATCGAACTTGCCGGTTTCCCTTGCATTGAGCACTCCGTAAATCTCCTATCACGCTGGAACCATCTGATCTTTCTGCATTTTATGTCTGATTTTTTTGGGTGTGGAAATAGTGAATTACAGATAAGTAAGGTCAGGTCATGTATCTAAATGTTTGATGTTTCATTACAGACTGAAACGAAGGATGGATACGTTCTTGGGCTTCAACGGGTTGGGTCCAGCTCAGGAATTGTCAAAGGAAAATTAGGTCCTCCGGTTCTACTTCTTCACGGTCTTTTTATGGTAATAATTTCTACAATACTTTATTAACAAACTGTTATAGGTAATACTATACTATATGCATCTCCACACGACTATTATAAGTCTGAGTCGTGTGTTAATATACTTTGTATTGATTTATTAGTGTCACTCTTACACTATGTTATATGTATGCTCTTAACTGAATCCACGTTTTCTGGAGTTAGATTTGTCAGTTGCTGATGGAGTAAATTTGTTATCTGCGACTGGGATTTTCAAGTGTTAGTTAATTGGGAAAATTACCGAAATTAGACTAAAAACGTTTTGAAGTTCCAAAATAGGACTATCAAGATTGGAAAATACTCTCATGTTTAATGTCTGCCAAAACATGACAGTAATTACTTCTATTAAGGAATAAAAACATGATAGTCCTATTTAGGATAATTTCCCTAGTTAATTTGACAAGATAAAGATTGACATTGCTTTTGCAGTAACTGCTGAATGTGAGTCTGGTTTCCTTCTCAATGATTTGTCAAAGTTTTATTCAAAACAGGCAGGAGATGCATGGTTTCTGAATTCTGTGAATCAATCGTTGGGCTTTATACTTGCTGATCGTGGCTTTGATGTTTGGGTTGGAAATGTAAGAGGAACTCGCTGGAGCCATGGGCACATATCTCTAACTGAGAAAGATAAGGTAAATTTTACATTCATCATCAACATCATCATCATCACCAACGGCGGGGAAGGTAAATTTTACATTATTGCATTTAAATGGTTTGAAGTTTATGCTATGTGGCTTATATGCATGGCAGTTCGAACAATTCATATCGGATATTTAAATTTTAAAATAGGATTTCTGGGACTGGAGCTGGCAAGAATTGGCTCTTTACGATCTAGCAGAGATGATACGCTATGTATATTCAATCACCAACTCAAAAGTCTCCATTGTGGGACACTCTCAGGTATAAATTGTTTTCATATAAAGAGCTTCATGTTGGTTCATAGTCTTCTTCTTAACCATTCCCGGCCATTTCAGGGAACAATAATTTCTCTGGCTGCTTTTACTCAACCAGATATAGTTGTCATGGTTAAAGCTGCAGCACTCCTTTGCCCGATATCGTATTTAGATCATATTTCATCTACTTTTGTCCTCAGAATGGTCAAGATGTATGTCGATGAGGTATTTGGACTCCTCCCCTTTGTTTTAACGTCAATAAATGGTCAAGAATGTTTTAATTTCTCTGGAGTATTATTTATTATGATTACTTTTTTAATCATTTGAACAGATGATTCTTGCATTGGGGATTCATGAACTTAACTTCAAGAGGTTTTTACTATGATATTTTTCAGTGGCTTGAATTAAACCCTTGCATTATTTGTGGACACTGCTATTATTATTACTGTTACTATTGTTTTTTCTTTCAGTGACCTTTCCACTCGCATCATGGATATGATGTGTGATGGACATGTTAACTGTGATGACATGTTATCAGCTATCACAGGTTCCAGCATTTCTTCTTCGAACAACATGACAGTAGCTTTTATAGTTATTGAGGCTTACCTAGAAAATGAGACTATAGGCTTGAGCCTGTGAGGTTCTTGCTTCTCTGTGTCACAGAGAAGCATTTGCCTTCACCATGGCAAGGCATACACCTTATTAGGTGCATGAAACTTCTGTCCCCATCTATGTTTGAGTGTATTGAGAATATTCTCATTGTATGTTGCCGGTCTGCTTTATCCCCCAATATCACCCACTTAAACAGTTTCCGTTGGAACTTGGAACTTCCAGCCGCATTTGCAGTTTTCTCAGAACCCATCCTTTTGATTTACTGGAGGAAGAGTTATTTTTGCAGGGAAGGATTGCTGCTTCAACTCTTCTAGGATTGATTTCTACCTTGATTATGAACCACACCCATCATCCACGAAGAACTTGGTTCATCTTTTCCAAAGTAATTCATCTTCCACTGCCCATATATGATCATTACTGTTATGGTCAATGTCCAATTTCTCATCTGTCTGAATGAATCAGTGATCAGGAAAGGCACTTTTTCAAAGTATGATTATGGAGTGTGGAAAAACATGAAGCTTTATGGTCAGAGGAAGCCCCCAGAATTTGATCTTAGTCAGATTCCCAGTTCTCTGCCTCTTTGGCTAGGCTATGGAGGGAGCGATGCCTTAGCAGATGTTACAGATGTTGAACACACACTCAGGGAGTTGAAAACGGTCAAGCCAGATCTGCTCTATCTTGATGATTATGGCCACATCGATTTTCTTTTGAGTGTTCGGTCCAAAGAAGATGTTTATGACAGCATTGTTGGGTTTTTCAAGTCATTGCAGAAGCACTCAGTTATTATTAAGTGATTGGTTCATGACTTATACTCCTTCATCTGCCAAAGAGAGATGTCTTGTTTCTAATACTAATTTTCCAGCTCAAGCCTCGGTGTGATTCCACTTATCACTATTTCTGTGTGTAAATCTGCAGATATGAAACAACTTTGTATATATGATATAATGATTCCACTAGTCACTATCTCTGTTTCAGAATCTACATTACTTATATTCAGTTCTATAGAGGAGGGTGACCATCACGGTGGGCCGGTGGCATCACCCTCCATTTTTTTGGGTTAAGTGGCTATATAGCATAGGGAGTATGTAAATAGGAGAAATTCAATTAATAGCTTCTATTTTGATGTATTAAATCATTTAATACATAGCATATTTTTAATGTCAGAAATACACAAATCAACAACTTGAATAACAAAATATTGAGAAAATAACTTTAAATGATACGGAGTTCCCATGATCGTTGAGAGATCAATAATAATACCACGTATATAGGAATTTTATCGATTCAGGACCCGAAAGAGAGAAATTATCGATCCGGGATCTGAAAGATGACATTTCATCTTTCAGGTCCCGGGTCGATAATTTATCTATCTTTCGGGTCCTGAATTGATAAGATTCCTAATATATTTCCTTTGTTTCTTTTTGTTGCAAAATTCCTATTTTCAGATTTGCCAACATACAATTTCAACAATCAATATATTTATTTCCCTATTATCAAAAAATATAAGAAAAATAGATTTTGAAAATGTGTAATGAGACAAAATTAACAATATTTTAATTTTTCAAATCATATTTAAATAAATAAAATGTTGTCAAACTAGAGTGTGTATAGTGTAAAATTCAACATGTTGCAACAAAAAAGAAATGGAGGTAGCACTATATAAATAACTAATTCATCATAATCAATTATTCAAATTAAATATGTAACAAAAAATATGAAGCATTTTTTTACATTGAATCTGGTAAAAGAATCTATCAAAATAAAGTAGGAGAAATTCATACCAATAATCCTTACTTTTGGTGGTTCTATAATAGTAATCTCTACTGAAAAAGTCAATACAAATAATCCAAACTCGTAAATGCGTCTACATAGATAGATTAAACCTTCATAGATAGTGTAACGCCCCTCTCAGGGTTAAAGGAAACGTTACATAAACTTACTACTATATAGTGTAAATGCTTCCTCAACCCCTCGATGTCCGGGATGCACAACCTGTTTTGGAGTAATAATCTCTCATTCTCATCCTAACGAAACTCAGGACATTTTCCCTCCTTGACGCACTCCTTCAACTTAACTAACTCGAGATCAAGTTCTTGCTTCATAGCCATGTCCTCAAATATTGATGGAGTCACTGTCATAGCTGTTAGTCGCTCACCTACAATCTCCAACTCAAAATCTTCAATTTCCTTCCTCAGCCTTGGATCCATTACCATCATGGACATTACTGTTGCAGAAGACTTCCTACTAAGTGCATCTGCTACCTTGTTGGCTTTCCCCGGATGATAAAGGATCTCACAATCATAATCTTTCACTAGCTCAAGCCACCTTCTTTGCCTCATGTTGAGGTCCTTCTGTGTGAATATGTATTTTAGGCTTTTATGATCAGTGAAGATCTTGCACTGAACTCCATACAAGTAATGCCTCCAAATCTTCAACGCATGTATCACCGCTGCCAACTCCAAGTCATGTGTAGGATAATTCACTTCATAGTCCTTGAGTTGCCGAGACGCGTAAGCAATTACTCGTTCATTCTGCATAAGAACTGCTCCAAGTCCCATCTTCGATGCATCTGTGTAGATAACAAACCCTTCCTTGCCATCTGGGAGTGCTAAAATGGGTGCAAATGTCAACTTATCTTTCAGCTCTTGGAAACTCTTCTCACAATGATCAGTCCACTCAAATTTCTTACCCTTACGAGTCAAGGTAGTCAATGGAAGAGCTATAGCAGAGAAGCCTTCCACAAACTTCCTATAATACCCCGCAAGGCCTAAGAAACTTCGAACTTCTTTCGCATTCTTTGGCCTGCTCCAATCTCGGGCAGCTGCTACCTTTGAGGGATCTACCGAAACTCCCTGCTTTGAAACTACGTGGCCAAGGAATGCTACATGATCAAGCCAGAACTCACACTTTGAAAACTTAGCATATAGCTTATGTTTTCTCAGTGTCTCCAGTACTTCTCTCAAGTGTTTTTCATTCTCCTCCTTGGACTCTGAGTAGATCAAAATATCATCAATGAAAACAATGACAAACTTGTCAAGAAACTCCCTGAACACTCTATTCATCAAATCCATGAACGCCACTGGAGCATTAGTCAGGCCGAAAGGCATAACCACAAATTCATAGTGTCCATACCGCGACCTGAAAGCTGTTTTCGGGATGTCACCTTCCTTGATTCTTAGCTGATGATACCCTGAACGAAGGTCGATCTTGGAGAAAATCACCGCTCCCTTCAACTGGTCAAACAGGTCATCAATTCTAGGCAGGGGATACCTATTCTTGATAGTCACTTTATTGAGCTCTCTATAATCTATGCACAACCTCATTGTGCCATCCTTCTTTTTCACGAACAATACTGGAGCTCCCCACGGTGAGTAACTGGGCCGAATGAAACCCTTCTCTAGCAACTCCTGCAACTGTTTGTGGAGTTCTTGTAACTCCGCTGGGGCCATTCGATATGGTGATCTAGATATTGGTGCAGTACCGGGCAGCAGCTCAATCTTGAACTCAATCTCTCTACTCGGTGGTAGTCCAGGAAGATCCTCGGGAAAAAGCATCACTGTAATCCTCCACAATTGGAACTTCAGATAACTGAATGGGTTCTCCAGTGCTCTTGTCTACAATGTGAGCTAAGAAAGCTTCACATCCATTCCGATTAAGTCTCCTTGCTTGCAATGCAGAAATCATCACCTTCCCTGATCCTTTTGGCTCCCCAAGAAACAAGAAAGGATTAGACCCTGCAGGTGCAAAACTAACAATTCTTTTTCGGCATATAATTGAAGCACTATACTTCTGCAGAAAATCCATGCCGAGAATCACGTCATAATCTCTCATATCAAGCACGATCAGATCCACAAATAACTCTCTCCCTGCAATACTCATTGGCACTGCTCGTAACCAATGAGTCGACAACATGATCTCTCCTGACGGAAGTGCTGTGGTGAACTTATAATCTAACTTATCTTGATGTGCTGCTAACGATCTAGCAAACTCAAGAGATACAAAGGAATGTGTGGCTCCAGTGTCAAATAGTACATTAGCGTATCTATTAAGAACAAGTATCTGACCTGTGACAACACCGGGATTTATCGATGCCTCCTCTTTCGAGATTGTGAACACTCTAGCAACCGGAGCCTCTGGTGGTGCCTCAAGACGCCCTTGCTGGATGGATGGTCCTTCTAGATAAGCCTGCATATTATGGACAACTGCTGAAGGTGTTGGATTTCTTGGCATGTGAGTGATCTGGTAGTTTTGCTGATTCTTTCTTGGACATTCTCTCGACATATGGCCCTCAAGGCCGCAAGTGTAGCAAGCTCTAGAACCCAATCTGCATTGGCCTGGATGATTACGGCCACAATTTGCACACTGTGGAAATTTCATCTGTTTATTTTGGTGTCCCTGATGGTGACCAGCTCCTTTTCCATCATTGCCCGTGAAGTTTCTCTTCTTGTTACTCTTCGAATTGTTCATGTGTCGTTGTGACTGATTCTGTGACTGCGAAGGCACAGGCTGCGGCTGAGAGGGTACTGGATCGCTAGAGATGTAGTACTCCTTTTGAGTTGCTATAAAAACACAGTCAGCTAGTGTAGCTGGAGTCTGATTGCCATTCTCCAAGTGAACTGCTATATCCTTCCCAAGAGCTGCCAGGAACATCCTCACCTTATCTCTTTCCGTCGGGGCAGCTGTAGGACAAATACGTAGCAGTCTCTGAAATTTTGCCGCCAAGGTTGTAACATCCATGGTTTCCTGGCGTAGACTCTGAAGCTCATCCCGGTACCTACGTGTGACACTAGCGTTGAAATACTGGTTGGTGAACTCCTCTTTGAACTGCTCCCATGTCATCTGCGCGATGTTGTACCTTGTTTCCACAGTCTCCCACCATATTCGAGCATCCATGGTGAGGCTGTAAGATGCACATCGAACCTTGTCATTATCTATTAGTTCCAACCCATTAGCAATGCCTTCCACGGTCTTCAGCCATCCCTGAGCAGCTAGAGGGTCTGGACCCCCCTCGAAATCTGCGGGCTTGATCTTCCTCCATGTGATCATCAAAGGTTCTTGTCTCGGTGCTCCGTGTCCCCTAGCATGATTATTTCCAGCATTTCCCCCTTCACCACCGCCCCTTTGATTGTTCGCGGTCAAACGGTCGATGGTTTGTTGCTGCTCCTGCAACTGTCTCTGAAGTTGCGCTACTAATCCTGCCAAATCCTGCTCGTGATTGTTTCCTTGCTCATTGTTGCTACCAACTGGACGACCACGGGTTCTCCTCATTTTCTTAAGGCACCTAAATATAAACTTTTATTTATGTGCCATACACAATACAAAAGGCAAAACATTCTCACTTCTGTTCTCTATCTAATAAAACTCTTCTTGCTCAAGCACAGAAATTTAAAACTAACTGTAAATACTTACTTGGAAGATGATGAGCACGTGTACGGTGACAAATGCAGTTACGGGACAGTCTGGGCTCTGATACCAAATTTGTAACGCCCCTCTCAGGGTTAAAGGAAACGTTACATAAACTTACTACTATATAAAAAAAAACTGCAATATAACGGCCGTTTGTTTAAGAAATAACCCTGATAAAAATCTCAAATATAACAAAATTATAGCTCCAAATAAAAACTCAAAAAAATCTAGTTATCACCAGCAAATGTGATAACCACCTGGATCCAGTAATTTACTAAAACTTCAAAACCTCAATTATATAAAGTAATAATAATTTTTTTTTATTCTCACTGAAATACTGGAGTAAAATAAAACTAGCTAGAAGCCGCCAAGGTCGTTCCCGTTAACTCATCTTGGCACGCGTTCCACTCCCTCATCATCTTCCTAGACCTTGGCCTTACCCTTAGTATCTGTACATGCGAAGAAAGAAAACTGATAAGCTTTACGCTTAGTAAGTCACTATGGACCCACCAAAATATCTGAGAAGTCTATGCTAATTTATCAATAGATAAATTTAGACTATAAGCATGCACTAAACACACAACTAACAAATAGCTTCTCGAATAAATTCTGAGAGATTCCAAAAGAAAATATTTTCTAAAATAATTTCTCAAAACTACTGGAGAGATCCCAAAATTTCTTTCTCAAAACATTTCTGTAAACTTTCTGAAAGAGATCTCAAAACAACTTTCTGTAAAACTCTTTGTGGCTAATTTTAACTGT